TGACAACGAAAGTCATCTGTTAAGGTCTTGCGCTACGAACAACTTAATAGTCCGTGGAACCCTATTTCGTCATTGACGAATTCACCTTATTTCGTGGAGGTCCAGTGAACGAGGCCTAAAACCGAAACCCCACCAGGTGCTCTTGAGTCCCAAATAGCGCAGCTCGTTACTCGAGGTTAGTGTGAAGCATGATAACTGCGTTTACTATGATCACCATATACTCGTAGCGGAAATTCGTCTAAAATTAGCCATGTTCCATGCTATGTCCTCTGACGTTTTCCAGAGGTTTACTATTTGAAGCATCTCGGTTCCATCATTTTCAGTGATGGCACTGTCCAACCACCAGACTTTATTAAGATGGTTGACTTTACCTCGAGCCTTTAACGAAACCTCTCCAAAAAATTCTTCTGTACCTTGTCTCTGCTATGTCAGTGTTATTGTAGGCATGGATGGGGACAGCTGTTCTAGCGAATGAGCTAGAAGCACGATTATACTGTCTAGAGCAGATGTCTTCGATGGGAAATGAGGATTAAAAGTGGCACGGTAATGAATGACTCGATCTCTCCCTGGTATAGGTAACCTCATTAGGTATAGAGGTCAAGAAAATGAAGTTGACCGTGTGAGACAAGCCCGCTTAGCATGACCTTACCATTTACTCCAGCTCCAGGGCGGGATCAAAATACGGCAGACATCGACAAGAGGGTCAGTCTGCAACGTAAGGACAAGGCAGATCTGCTTTTTGAGTGGAATATTTGCTAATGTCATTGTTTCCTTCTACGACACCGTAACCGGCGCTTAAAAGTTGAGGATACAGCGGACATCCACAACAGCAAACGCTTGGTTGATGCAAACGGTCCAATACGATCGTTTCAGCAAACATACGCGACACGTGTCTTAAAATACTTAACTGAATGAATTCGTTCTCCTGTCACTTCTCTGGATTCAAGTGACGCAGCTGTACCCTCTTCCTGCTTCTAGCAGCCTACAGGACCTTTTGAATTCAAATCATGGATCCATGGTATTTTAGCATTTGCAGTGCACGGGCCGAAAACAGCGCCAGTTTGTTGTATCGAAACCTGCTCAGGCACCAACCGTTGTTTCTCGATCTGCAGACATATACAATAATGGTTAAGCTCGGTATATCCCGTGCACTAGCAAACTGCCAGCTTTAGATACCACTCGTAAGAATCAGATTCACAACGCAACTGGACGGAATAAATTATTTTGATTTAAATAGTTACTGAAATTTCTGACAACGTCGAGTAATTAGTCAACCAGCGTTTATTGCTGTCACAGATTTACACTTATCATAGATTTCATTTCTCATGCTCTATATCGGTCACCTGTGCGTTGTCGGCATTTTCTGTAAAATGGCAAAAATATATAAATGATGCGTTCGCAAATAGGTTACTATGTGTCAGAACAGTTTGAGACAGAACTAGATCTGCCACATGTATTTTTTCTATCGCTCTAGTCAGACATAAGATGACGCACGGAGCTAATTCTTCATAATCGTTAACTGTAGCGGCTGATGAATTCATAATAATTTTGAAAAATTATTTTCGCTCGGTTAATTTTTTTTCAATTGGTCAGACACATCGTTTTGGGCGATAGACTGTACTTTGCCAACGGCACAATATGGCAGACAAGAGCGCAGCAGTGTGTTTCGAGGAAAGGCAGAAATTCGAGAAAGCGCATGATGCTTATGGATGACCGCAAAATTAAATGAACAAGCGTTATTTCTATCTGCTGTTAAAAAAGGGGAACTGGGGTGGATGTACTTGGCTCAGTTGCATCTCTGATACCTCTTCGATCACTTATGAAGTCGTCATATCACAGAAATTATAAATGAGTGCTTGCAAAATCTTTCCCATAAAACAGGTGATGGATTAAGGATTTAAATGTGTCGGGTTCGAACAATGATTCTCAATACAGCGAATGTGTGCTTGTACAATATTGTCTTCTTCTTTCAAATGTCGACTGAACCACGTCATTTGATGACGTGACTGTGTTTAGCAGGGACACTGAAACCATGGCTTCGGACATTGCTCTCTGACTCGACTGGACGTTAAATTTGAAATAGCGTTTTGATGCCAGTGCACTCCGTAACAATGTGCGAAATATTCTTATGAGGTGCCCCACCATGGCCAATTCACAATTATTAATTTTTCACTAGCGGACTAAAGGACTAGATTACCGCAATCTTCATGCACGTGCCATCCAATAGAGGTTGTTCAGCAGCCAGATCCAAGACTGACGTCTATATGCATCTTTTTATAGTTTTCTATCGATCCTTGACGGACTAGCTCCACTATTACGGTTCAGGATGATTTGCGAAAGTTGGGCTTTAGAAGAAAGATTTTCAATGTGACTGCTAATGAACAGCTGCCGGTTTTAATTTCTCTACTCATATTCGCATAGAAACGGAACCTCCTGCTTGAGATGGGTTGAGCGATATTTGAAGCATCGACAGCCGAGGCAACGCTATGGATCTGAACGTTGCAGGGATGATGGCATGGGCCATTTGATGGCTACAATCCTACAAGACAAGAAGCCTGAGTGATTTCCAACATCAGATTGCCGAAAGGCGCGAATCAGTGGCACTTTGAGGACCGCCAATGACCCTTTGTACGTTGGGCTAACAATGAACACCTTCTTCTCAACAGCCGCTTCAACGGCAGGAGAGAAATTGTAGAAAAGTGAACATGCTGCAGATCAGGAAACGTTGGGAATTGCTCGCAGAATGCTTAACGGGGGGGGCTATTTTTGGGACTGTTTAACTGATGACTTTAGAAACTGTGCGAGGAAGGTAAGATAGCAGCTGGAACGTTATGAATATAACGTCGGTCACGGAGTCCTCGATGGCAACGGACTGGTAGACAGTGTTGTGTGTCGTCATATTTAGAAAAGATGCTGTTAATAATGATCTATATCGGGCCCCAACTGAATCCTGTGTCCAGTGATGGAATGGCCAATGCACTGCCGCACCCTAACTTCCTGCTGACCACCGTATCAACGAAGAATTGATGCTAGAGCCAAAGCTGCCGCCGGTATCATTCATTGCACAGGCCGGCTTGTCGACCGTCCCGTGACTCTTGGACGGCATAACAACGTCACGCATCCACTGCATCGTTAGTTTGACGCCGTTCAGTGCACCGTCATACTTCATGGAAAACTGATCGAAATATGGTCCTCGCTTCGCTATCAGCTCCTCCATCAACGCGCGAGTTGCATTCAAACGCTCGCCTCATTTTATAACTTTGTACTTGTTACAAAACACTTCAGCAACTTTCAGCCAGCAATAAACCACATGACTCACATCAACGGCATTATTGTTCATGCTTGCCGCAGCTACGAAGTTTCTGTTTATGGAAAATGTCAGAAATTTGTTTACTATAACTGGTTCAGAATATGTTTATTTAGTAGGCCAGGTCTTTCTGACGTAAATGTTGGTTGATGAGTTTGACGTAAGGGGAGACACGAAGGCGCACCATGGCATTGAGGTTGTGCAACTAAGATGATACGGTCTCCATCCGGACGCACATTATGCCAATGTTTGCTTCGGATCGTCATCAATCAAGGAGTCACGGCGATTTGCTGCCCTATGAGGGATTTGCCTCAGACAGTATGGCCGAACACCAGCCATTCTTGTATGACTAGACCAAAATACCATACTGTCCTCGTTATTCGCAAGTTGACCACTTGCTATTCGTTTCTCGGCCGGTTGCGCTGAAGCAACCTTAATCAAAGCCCAAAGATAATCTCATGCTCAAGGTAATTCGCGGAAAACAAAAATTACCCCCTCCCCCAATAAAGCGAATTTGAATCTGACACCTACGGAGTTCGAAGCCCACCTCTTTGCCATGTGTACCATCACACCCCATGGATCAATATTTTTCCCTTTTCTAGGAGGACAGGCATAAGGTGACAATGAGCCCTTTTGACTGCACGCTTTCCGTTGAGTCCTATCTCCTCGTTAGGAAATGTTATGACTTATTTGCCTTTAAGTTTTGGCTTGATTGGCAAGATAAAAATTCAAATTTGTTTCCAGCAAAAGCAAGGAAAAATGTCAAATATATTTTTGCATTCATAGCCACGATGACATTGGGCTCTTAGTGACGTTGTCTCGCCAATTTTTCATGTACTGGCCATCGAAACTAAACCAGGGATTTCAGATTTTCGCAGTTTCTTGAAGTTAGCAATAAACCATTTCCGGAGTCTTCCGTTTGTTTTGCCTTCTGTTCAGAACTTAGACGATGCGTCGAAAAAACTTTACCATGCCTTCTTAGGAGGTGAGCCGGACGATGGCCTCCAATATTTCCTTATAATTTGCTGCCAGAGGCGTCTCCTCTCGGATGGACGGATTTAGCTTTAAGCATAAAAGGGGCCTGACTATTTTACGGTATGCAGCAGGCCTTCGTGGTTAAGATAGAATTCTGGTTGACGTTTCGAGTCGTTGTTTGTTCAGCGTAAAAAGAATTCCAAGCAAATGCCTACTAGTGACGAAAGCAATAAATATAAAGTAGTCTTAAGTCAAATAGACAAGTGTGGGTTATATAGTAACCGTTAGAGGTATTGTAGCGATTCTAAGCAATCAATCATCATTTTCCCCCCTCCCCCCTCACAATGCAAAGCTGTCGTTGTCACAAGCGGTGCTCGCCCTAAAATGGTGAGAAATTTTCCCCACTCTTTGATTGATGTAAAACGTCGCCTACGGCATTGTCAAAGAGGTGATTCCTCACTGAGCACAGACTTGCTTACTCGTGTTCCTAAGTGTCTAAAGTTGCTGTTCTAAAAGTTACGTAATACGCTGAAGCCTGCTCCCATGCATGACTCATTCTCTTCAAGTTGTTTTCCACCGCGCTTTACTCATACTTAGGTTGTACACGGCATAGGATCGTAACTACCACTCCCTCATCCTCCTTGCGTTCTTCGATGTTCTTCTGTTCGAAAAACAGTTTCACGTTATGCGACGGTATCGACTTAATCGAAGCAGTGCAAAAACAACTTTCTCGATGACG